TCTCTCTCTCTCTCTCTCTCTCTCTCTCTTTCATTCTCATTCTCTCCCATTCTCTCTCTTTCACTCGCTCTCTCGCTCGCCCGTTCTCTCTCTCTCTCTCTCTCTCTCTCTCTCTCTCTCTCTCTCTCTCTTTCTCTCTGTCTCTCTCTCTTTCTCTCTAATCTTTTTAGTTTTTCTGCTTTCTTCTTCGTTTTATCACCGGGAGAGGAAGATGATGTCGTCATCGAAGCCCGGAAGCGTTCCTTAACGATTCGGCAAGCCATTTATTTATTTAATTAATTATTTATTGTTAATATAGAAAAGTAAAATATAAAAATGGAGAAGTAAACATTAGGCCGTAAAATAATTTCGTTCCCAACGTCGAAATCAGCAGCCGTAGGAAAAGCCTCCTCCTCCTTCTCCTCCTCCTCCTCCTCCTCTATCTTCTTCGAGGGAAAAGGAATAAAAAAATATTACTAAAAAAAGAAAATCTTTTTTCTTTTTTTTTCCTTTTAAATATATTTGAACACGCAGACTTTTCCTTCGCGCTTTAGTTCGACGACCCAGCAACAGGAATCTTCTTTACCGAGCATGCTCGGTCGGTAATACGAATATCTACTTTATTCATATATATATTTTCATTCTTAAAGAATAAACGAATTAATTTTTGGTTCTTTTTTTTTTTAATACTTATTTAATTTGTTACTCTCTTAGATAAATTTATTTCGTATACGAACGCTTCCGTGCTCCTGCGCACACTTTTACACATATTTATTTATTTCTCTCCTCTCTCTCTTTCTCTCTCTTTCTTTCTTTCTTTCTCTTAATAAATTAATATATCAATATTTTTAGTATCGTATAACCCGCCAGCGAATGACGAGTATCGGATCACAGATAGTGAGGTGATCAGATTGCCTGCTTTCTTTCTTTCTTTTATTCTTTTATTATTTTTTTATTTTTTATTTTTTTTTTTCTTGTTGAAATTTTTTTACCTTTTTACTTTGTGTTGCTTTTTCTGGCTTCCCTTACGATATCGTTCTTTAATGCGTTTACTATCGATAATAAATCTTTTGTTTTAATTTTGTTTTGTTTATTATTTGGGATTATTTAATTTTTCTTTTCTTTTTCGTTTCGTTTAATTCCCCTCTCACTCTCTTTCTCTCTCTCTTTCTCTTCCTCTCTTTTTTTTTTTTTTCTATCGGTTTAGCAAAATCTTCTTGCGTATTTCTCCTAAGGATTTCAAGGCGACAGCTCCTGAAAGCAAACAGCATTCGGCCGTGTACGCGCGCTATCTGGCAATGACGTGAAAAAGTTTCACATGCATGGTACACATCCCCGTTTTTTAATCTTAAATTTTGCATCATTTTTTTTTAAATTACATTTCGATCAAATCGATCACAATCAACCGATTGTACGATCTCAATATTTTCTATATACATAAACAATAATTGTGCATAACGTGTGCATGGTGTGTGTAGGTGTGCAACAATTTGCCATAATTAAATCATACTATTTTTTTCACGAGATCAATTCAAAAGACAACTTTTTCAAGACATTGCTTTTGGACGCGTGCACGTCGGAAAATCAGCTCTCTCATAATTTTCTTTTGTTTTTTGGACCACTATCACATCTTTACAATTCTACCTCTTTCACTCACACATTCTCTCCTCTTTGTTTCTCTTTCATTTTTACTCCCCTTTTTTAAATAATTCTGCTTTATATTTTTTTCAACGAATATCGAAATAAAGTTGACATAAGTACGAGTTGCAATTTTTTTTCTTATATATATCACAAAGTATTTATATATATATAAATATATATAATA